GTTCTCCTAACAGTGAAGCACTCAATCTGAGATTAAGGACTGAAGGAAGCTGCTCTTACTTGATGATATTGTCTACATTGATGATTCTTCCACTTCCAGGTATCAGTGTAAGCTTTTCTGTAGCATCTGTTTATAAAAAAAAAAAATTCAACTACGTAGCTCTTTGAAGTTTGTTTTGGACCTTAAGAGTCTCTGAAGCTCACCTTTCTCTGACAGAGACACCATGGTGCGTTCGTATTTCCCAGAATTCAGCTCGTTCAGGACCTTCATGAGCTCAGTGATGCGTGTGGTGAAGCTGAAGGGAAAAACAAACTCATTTTATAGCATCAAATGTACCAGGTTTTTAATTAAATGGCAAGTAACCAGATAACTTAATTGCACATGCTGGTGCACTGTGATGAGGATATATGAACTTTTACCCTGACAGACGCGACATTTCTCTGCCGGCAAGAACGATTCTGCCCAACGCCTGTGACATACGCAGCAGCATTCGGCCGCTCTGGTAGTAGTCCTGCAGGACAACATGTCAAGATGAATAATCCTGCCCCGTCTCTCATTATTCCACATGAACATTCAGTTTTGCTCAGAAATGTCACATTACCGAATTTAAATGCATTGTGAAAGCAACTGAGGGCCAGTAACTAGGAATAATCACAACATCAGGAGTGACGTTTTACCTCTAGCAGTTCAGCGTGTGAGCTGCTCAAGTGTCGAGGGTGAGACAAATCAAGGAAAGGACGACTGACGACTAAATACCCAACAACGGTAGCGAAATCTGGAACAAGAGAGAACAAATTACTCATCTTTTACTGCCCATGATCATGCATATTTTATTTAGGGAGATAATGAAACATCCTCTTACACTTGGCAATAATGCTATCCACCATTCCCATGGAGAAACGGAAGAAGATGAAATTGTGCAGATGATCGACCTGCAAACAAACTCAGATCAGCTAATAAACTCAGATGCAAACCTATATTACATATGTGACCCTGGACCACAAAACCAGTCTTAAGTTGCTGGG